CCCCAAAACCCCAAAACCCCAAAACCCCAAAACCCCAGTACTTATAATAAATTGAAAAATGTCAACAATGAATGAATTAGACCATGGAGGTGAAGTAATGGGGTCAATTGACTCTTATGGAACTTTTGAGCATGAAGAAGAGATCCTGCTTATGAACCACGGAGACGACTCTACTACAGAATTAGTGAAAAGACTTAATAAGTCTCAAAGAGTCACTAGGCTGCCTGATAAACATACAGTAGCCGAATTACTAGAGATGGCAGGGGGATTTGGCAAAGCACAGTGGTATAGCTTCTTTGCTGTCTTACTATGTAACCTAGCTATTTCCTTTTATTCATATAATTTGCCATATCTTGAGTTAAAGCCACAACTTTCATGAGATATTGAGAATAAATTTGGTGTATGCTCTATTGAAGATGTGTGACAAGACCCAGGATTCAATAAGTGGCAAGTTGATTATTCAGACAAAATGACTATCAACAACTGGATGTTGGATAGAGATGACTTCTGTATCGGACACTTCAAAACTGGACTCATTGGAAGCTCGATGATGGTTGGTGTACTTCTATCAACAGTGATTTCACAGATGTCTGATTTTATTGGAAGAAAGAGGTTCATTCAAGTCTGCTCCCTCTGTAGTATTCTGGTAGTTAACCTATTGTTCTTTGCAAAAGATATTGACGTAAGGATCATCCTCTGTTTATGAATTGGGATGCTAAATAGCATATACTATTGCTCTTACAGTTATCTTCTTGAAATCACACCAAAGAAAAACACTTCTCTGATGAGCCATTTATTTATGGTGTCTGAAGGGTTTGTTCCTACCTTCTCTTGTTCAATGTTTTTCTTGTTAGGGAACAAAAACTGGGAACATTTGTTCTTTTTCACCTTAATCCTAGCACCTTTAGGATTATCTTTATCGTTTTTCTTGCCAAAATCTCCTCAATATCTATTTGATAACAATGAAGAGGAGAGTGCAAAGGCTGAGCTTGAGAGTATCTCCAAAATGAATGGCTGCGAACTTCCTGAGAACTATAAAATTGTCAATGAAGAGGAAGGGTCTGACTCTCATTCCATTTCTGAAGGCAAGTGTATGTATTTTGCCTCTTTCCAAAATTTCTTAAAGCTTGCTATATTCTCTGTGATTCTGACCTACTTATGCTTTAACGGAGTTTTGTTTGACTATTATGTTAAATATATAGAAATTGATATGTTCCTTATCAATTTACTGAAGTCTCTAGGCGGAGCTGTGTCAATTGTGTTAAGTTATACTTTCCTAAGGTTCTTCGCGTTCAAAAAGGTTGCTATTACTATCTTAATCTTATTGGCACTGCTTGCACTTCCCTTGCTAGGAAGTATAGAATCTAATGGAAAGGCTTTGATTGTGATCAGTCTTGTAGGAATTTCTTCCTGAATGACTTCTTTGTTCGTGCTCATGTATTATTTTGTCAGTGAATCTTTTCCGCATGCAATGGTCCCACTTGTTCTCTGTTTAGCCCATATTGTGAGTAATGTATTGATGATTATGTCACCAGAAGTCGCTGAAGTCAAAGGCAGACTCCCAATTTTCATCTTCTTGGGAGCTACTTTGTTCTCTTTGGTATCAATAGTGTTGTATAAGAAACCAGAGAAAGAAGAATACTTAACCAAAGATTAATTCCTGATAAATATTGATTTCAACTGGTCTAAAGCCTTTTGGGGTTTTGGGGTTTTGGGGTTTTGGGG